GTACTCAAGGTTGAGGGAGGAGGGAGAAACAGATTACAGAGAGATGCAGGAAACTTCGTAGGGTGAGGAATGTTCATTTTTTTAATTATTAAATTTTATTAGTTTTAATGAACATTCACAGAGATTTTGGGTTTTCATTCATTCATTGTTGCACTGTTTTCTCCACCCTCCTCCCCAGTTCTTTCTTCTTCCCCCCCCCCACTGTTTTACTTTTCCAATTGCCACAGTGCTTGTCAAAGCCAGTTCTGGTTCATTTTTATTACATTTGTGGTGGTGACGATGTATCTATATTTGTCAAATCTTGTGATGGACTCAATTCTGAACCCCTGTTCCAGGGCATGTAATCCCATTTCAACTGCCTGCCCTGGATAGCCAGCCTCTATTGGGTCTCTGAGGCTGTCAGTGTCTATGGAAGGAGATTATACAACACTCTCCCAGGAGTGGCTGGTGGAGTCAAACCACTGATCTTTTGCTTAACAACCCAAATACCCTATTCCTCCAGGGCTCCTTTGTCAGTAGATAGTGTATCTTCAATGTACTCACTTGCTAGTATAAAAGGAGATTAGGTACAGAGAAGTAGAAATCAGGGGAGAGGAATGGGCATCATTTAGAGCTTTAAAAGAAACACTGAGGATGCTAGAGAAACTGAAGCAGGCATTTGCCCTCAGAGTGGACAGAGAGAGCCTTCCCGTACAGAGACATTGCCCTAAATGCTAACTTCTAGCTTCCTACTATGAAAATACATACATAAATACATAAATTTCTAGGGAGCTCTAGTGACCTAGTAACAGGAAGCTGCACTGCAATCCTCTGCTGGGGAAGGAGGAACAATCTCCTCCTGTACCAGTCAGATCCAATTTGATGGTATACAACAAAAAAGAGTAAAATAAAATTTAAAAATTAAATAAATACATTTCTGTTTGCTAATCCACCCCCTTATGATATTCCCATTATAATAGCACTGAGAAGCCATGACGCCTCACAGGGGTATCCAGTTTTTAAATGCTGAGTTTCATTGTGTCTCGATAAAGCTAATTTAAAACAATAAATATGGTGAAATGCGTAAGAGCGGGAACACAGTGGAGCTCTTTGTGTTCTGAGCCTCAGCAGATTTCTAGGAGCACTGGTGGCACAGTGGTTAAGTGGTAGGCTGCTAACCAGAAGGTCAGTGGTTTGAACCTAGCAGCCACCCCGTGGGAGGTCACTGCTCAGTCTGCTGGCACAGAGCGGGCAGCCTCAGGAGCCCGAGGGGCAGTTCGGGCCCTGCTGTGCCCTGTAGGGCATCGGAATCACCTGGTCACAAAGGTCCGGGTTGCAGGTTTCCCGCCTTTGATCGGGGGTAAAGTCAAGTTCTCCTGCTTCGCTCTTGCTTGTTTTCAAGGAACAGGCTTCCCCTTTCCTTCCCTGACCCTTTCACCTGACGCGGCCTCTGGTCACCTTAAGGGAGTTGCTGCCCTTGCTCTTCTGTATCTGACTCAGACAAGGCAAAGCCGGGTCACTCTTGGGCCGTCGACAGTTCAAGCAAAGCCTCTGTCATCAAGTTGATTCTGGTCCTAGTACCCTCTGGGATCGAGTGGCACTGCCCAGGCTGCAAACCTTTACAGACGTGGACCTGGTCACCTTTCTCTCTTTAAGTGGTTAACTGAGTCCTGTTAGTTAGTTAGCAGTGCCGACGCGGAACCCCATGAACCACCAGGGCTCCTCGCAGAAAAGAAATGCAGCTTATTTTCAAAATACAGAGCAAGAGGTTATTGTCAAAGAATAATTGCTGCAGCAGTCAGCGCACATGGCTGCCAAGACTCCGCTGGACGCGATCCACCCCAGATATTGCTCTGATTCTCTCAAGGTCTTCGGACACCCAGAAAGTGGGTCGTCTTTCAGGATAACTGCGTCACTGTGGGGAACATGCTAGTAAATCAAAGACCAGCTGGATTTGTTCTTAAATGTGGTAAAATACTTACTTGCTTGGAAGTACTATTAATCCTCCCATCCGCCGGACAGGGGATCTGGGTTTTAGGGTCTGGCTTACCTTCTCTTGTTATTAGCACTTCATATTCTTCTGGTTGTGTTCAGGCATTAATGTTTAGACATTCAACTTGTGCTTTGGAAAAGCAGAGATCCTGTTACTGCTTGCTTCTACATCTTAAAAGTTTGAAATGAAGTCTCATACCAATTTTTTTTAACAGAGAGAATTGAGGTATTGAAGCAATCATTTTAACTGTTCACTATGAAATTCTTTTGCCTAGGATTCTCAGTTATTAAAGCAAAAGCATTGTTCTGTGCTGAATTCTCCAGATAATTCTGCTTTTGGCAAGAAGTAGCAGAAAATCAACTGGGCGTAGACAATAGGACATTTATTTATTGGCTCTTGTGTCGGGAATTCTAGAGAGACAGCAGGGTTCAGTGTTGGCCAAACCAGGGACTTGACAATGATGTCAAGGTCATGGTTTTCCCATCTCTCCACCCTGCTGACAAGGTCAGTTCCAGTTTAAGACTGATTCCTTCACGAGTGTAGGACGACTGCCAGAATCCTTCAAACCCATCACCTCGCTCAGTCCCATTGGTTTCTGATCATACGCTACCTGATGGGATGGTTAGCTAACTCTGTATTCATTCTGTGTTCATTTGCATGTCTTCCAGTGTCATTCTAAATGTTTTTTTTTGCCCACAGAATCCTTCACTATTATACTTAAGCCTTGAAATAATTTTTTTCTTCCATTTTGTTCAGCTTGAGAAATGAAGAGCGTCATTTCCCTTTGCTTTGCTAACTGCAGGTCTTTGCACATATCATTATTTTGTTTTCTCAAAATACCCTTGGAAATCATCTTTTAATTTATCCTGTCTTCCATTCCCTTTAGCTATTCTGCATTCAGGGGCAAATTGCAGAGTCTTCTGACCTCAGATTTAGTATTTTTTTCCTTTTTTGGCTCTTCAGTGGCCTTGTGTTTCCTTCATGTTTGGTACACCCTTCGTGTTGGTACACCCATTATGTTGGTATACTCTTCATGCTTGGTACACCCACCACGTTTGGTACACCCTAAATGTTGGTATACCCATTATGTTGGTACACTCTTCATGTTGGTACACCCTTCATGCTTGGTACACCCATCATGTTTGGTACACGCATCATGTTGGTATACCCTTCATGTTTGGTACAACCATCATGTTTGGTACACCCATCATGTTGGTACACCCTTCATTTTTGGTACATCCTTCATGCTTGGTACACCCTTCATGTTGGTACACCCTTCATGTTTGGTGCAACCATCATGTTTTGTATACCCATCATGTTGGTACACCCTCCATGTTTTGTACAACCGTCATGTTTGGTACACCCATCATATTGGTACACCCTTCATGTTTGGTACACCCTCGATGCTATTCCAGAACTCCTCTGGTCTTTGGTTGGTAGCATCCAGGACATCAAGTCTATTCTTAACATGATCTCTGAATTCAAGTGGGATCTACTTATGGTCATATTTTCCCTCTGGTGGACTTCTTTTAATTCTTTTCTTAGTTCAACTTGAATATGTATATGAATAATAGTAGTCTATTCCACACTTGGCTCCTGGCTGCCTTCTGACGATAATATGGAACTTCTCCATGGTCTCTTTCCACAGGTTTGTAATCCGTTTGATTCCAGATTACTCCATCCTTTAAGGTCCACATGTTAGTCACTGTTTGTGCTGAAGAAGAAAAGGCATTTGCAATGATTAAGTTGTTGCTGTTGTAGAATTTTGTCATGCAATTTCTGGTGTCCTTTCTAGCATCAAGACAGTATTTTCCACCTACTTATTCTTCTTTGCTTTCAACATTTACATTCATATCAATAATTACCAGTGCGTCTTGTCTGCCTATTTGTTCAGTGTCAGACAGCAAAAATTGGTAAAAATCTTCACTTCTTCCCTCTGTGGCAATAGTGGTTGGTGCAAAAGTTAGAAAACAGTCCATTTTAGCTAGTCTTGCAGGCATGTTGATGTTTTCCTGTCACTGACAGTGCTGTACTTCAGGGTAGGTCTTGAAATGTTCCTTTTTGGGTATGAAAGTCATCCATTTTTAATTCATTATGCTCGGCATAGTGTGATTATCTGATTCAAGATAGCCGAGACAAATCCATGTCAGCTCACCAATGCCCAGAATGTTGATCTGTGTGCATTCCATTTCATTTTTTAACAACTTTCCATTTTCCTGTGTTCACACTTTGCACATTCCACATTCCACTTACTAATGACTATTTCCAGTTATTTCTTCTCACTTTGAGTCACACCACATCAGCAAGTGAAGGGCCCAAAGCTTTCCTCCATCCACGTCACTAAAGTCAGCTCCGTTTGAAGGAGGAAACTCTTCTCAGCTCTATTTTGAGCTCCTTCCAACCTGACCGGCTCCTCCTCAGACAGTGTCCTTCAGCCGCCCCTACGGTCTTCCCTGGCCTATGTTTTCGGCAGGTTGTGGAGTCTTCCTTCCTCATTGTGGTCCACCCTGGATGACCCTGCGGGTATTTGACAGATTGGTGGCATGGCTTTTAGCTTCATAGTGACACACAGACTACTACAGGACCACAAGGAGACAGGAGAGTAGGGGGACTTAGCACGACTCCATCTGTCTGTCTCAGGAAGGCTCGAGGATGCTAACATGTAAAGAAATGCTTGTCTGAATCTCTCTGGCATTTCCCCCTTTCCCAATCCTTCCCCCTCAATCTTAATAAATGTCTTTGACTTTCCAGCTTGTCTCCTTGTCCTTACCTCCTCAGAGCAGCCGAGCTGGGAGTTTGACATAATTCGCAGAATTGATCCCTCTGTGTGGCCTCACACCATGGCGAGAGTTCAACCTGCGAGAAAGACCGGATGACAAGTCTTCTCATTCTCAGGGTTAGGAGGCAATAGTGGAAGAATCTGTCCAGTCCGGGAAGACCATTTGATGGAGAAGCCTTGAAGCTAATGGTTGATAAGGGAATGATAGGTTCGTGTTTCCTGCCACTCAAATGTGCTTTTTGTGAACAGATCACTGTTACAGACGAGGACGTCAGTAACCCGTCCTTTCTGGACCTGGTGAGGACTCCCCAGATGAGGAAGTGCACGCTTATCCTCATGTTCGCCTGGTGAGCTCACGTGTGTTGCATTCTAAGGCTTGTGTCGAAGCTGTGCCTCACTCCTTCTTCCTAGTATCAATGGAGTCCAATTCTGACCTGTTTCTCTCTGGTGTCTTTCCATGACATTTCCCTAGGTTCACAAGTGCAGTGGTCTACCAGGGGCTGGTCATGCGTCTGGGAATCATCGGTGGCAACCTCTACATAGATTTCTTCATCTCAGGGGTCGTGGAGCTGCCTGGAGCCCTCTTGATTTTACTGACCATTGAGCGCATGGGACGACGTCTCCCCTTTGCAGCAAGCAATATCGTGGCTGGAGTGGCCTGCCTGGTCACCGCATTCTTACCAGAAGGTAATCTTTCCCTACCTTTGTTTGGCAGCCAAGGGACACGACCAAAGCTTTGATTCAAGAATCAAGTCTGGGAGCCACTTGTCCTTAGAAATGGACCATTGTCTCAGAAGCTGGGTATCAGGCAAGTTGGTGGAAGTGCTCAGTGTTCTGTTTCATCCACATCAAGGCTTTGGGTGCTAGTCATGCATTCCATAGATTTGCGGTCCTCCCGTTGGTTGTGTGTTCGCTCATGGGTGATGTGGGTGCTGTCCTTAGGCCAGCTCTTTGGGATTTTCCCCCCGGTGATCACCTTTATCTGGGGTCACTTTCACGGTGTCACCAATCATCCATGACCTGCTGCACATGGAGTCATTGAGGTCACAAACACAAGAAAGTTCCCCTCTCCCCTTCCCATGATTCTCACTGGCTGAGAGATAGAAAAACTTTCAAACTCATTGCTTCAAATCAGAACCCACTCACAGCTGACCCTCCAGCAGACTTTCAGAGGCTGTAAATCACATGGGAGGAAGTTGTCCATCTTTATCCCACAGAGGAGCTGACGATTCAAACCGCTTGACTTTGGGCGGGCAGCGCAAATTCTTTCTGCATTAGGTCACCAGAGTTCCCTAATCAGAGATAGAAACACTTTCACTTAGAAATTGATAATCTTTTATCAAATCACTCTGACAAATTAAATAATGGGTTATTTACTGTATTTATAAATTTGGCAAAGAAGCTTCACAGAGGTGGGAGCTTGGCATGCATTGTTGTTATGCTGTGCCCCTCCAAATAATGCCACTACCTGAGCTCCTTGTGCCTGGGAATATGACCCTGTCTGTTCATGGAGGTTCCCTTTTGTTACATGGAGAAGGTTGAGTCAGAGTAGAAAAACTCACTGCCATCAATCAATTGTGACGCGGTGTGCCTCTCTGCCAGATTCTTGAAGGCTCTGACTTTATGGAAAGAAGTTAGTCACCTTCCTACCAAGGAGACTGCTTGTCTTTTCCCAGGCAGCAGCTGATGGATTTTAACCACTTACCTTTTGGTTAGCAGCCCAACATGACAGGCAGCATCACCCAGGTTCTTTAGTAGAGTAGGCTGGGCCCTAAATCGAATCCCTTCTCAGCTCTATCCTTTAGATCACAACACACCTGGGGAAGGGCAGACGGCTGGGGCTGCCGAGGCCTCTGACAGGTAAGGGCCTTTGCCTGCCCTGCCTCCTGACTCATGAGAGGATAAATTCGGTTCCTTAAAGCCTCTCGAGGAGTTTTCTTTGTTACAGCAGCATGAAGAGAGTAAGACAGTTCATATGAAGGACAACGAGAAATACATCCAAAGCGAAGGGTAGGAGTGGGTTGAAAGTCAAAGGGATGTTTTTATCCCACCGCCCTTGAGTGAGTTCCAACTCAGGGCAGCCCTCAAGGTCAAGGTAAAACTCCTTTCGAGGGTTCCCACCTGAGGCTGAAGATCTGTGCAGAAGGCGACTGTGGTATGTTTCTCCAAAAGAGCAGCAGGTAGATTCTGTCCTCCAGTTGACGGCGGAGCGCTTCACCACGGGTCCACCAGGGGTCCCTGGAGTAGAGGCAGGCCTTTGGGGCTGAAGCAACAGGTGGCTGCAAAACTAGATGGTCTGGCCTTACAGGCTGCCCTGTGCCCACAGTGGGCCTGGGCTGGACAACAGGCATGTGAGGATGAGCTGGTGTGTCCACCAGCGTCTCCAGCCTTGTCCAGGGAGCGTCAGGGGACGAGCGTGGCCTCGGCCTCGTCAGGACCTCAGTACTCTGGACAACTGACCGCAAATGAGGGATACAGCCAGGGACTAGGGCAGAGGCCAATGCCTGGAGTGTCTGTGAGTTTAGTTGTATGGAACCCAGTCAGTGACTATGACCTTGGATTGCACAGGGTCGGAGCAGATGCCACCACCATCACTGGTGGTTTCTGCCTTGGATAAACCGGTTCTAGAAGGAGGCGGCCTCTTCAACTGCCAGGAAGCAAGTGAATTGTTTCCATGCTCGAGGGGTGGACATTACCCAGAGAGCTGCATCTCTGGGCGTCTTTGTACCACGACAAAGGATGCTCTCCTTTTTTCTTCTCCTGTGGGACTCTGAGGAGAAACTCATCAACAGGCTGCACTTGGTGGAAGTCAAAAGAGTGGGACTTGGAATGAACCATGTTCATTACTTAGAAGTGCGTGAATTCCCAGCATAGCAGATTGTTGTTGACCACCGTCGAGGCACTCACGACTCATAGCGACCCTACGGACAAAAGGCCTGAAGCCCCTCTGCAACTCTCGACATTGATCAAAGTTCACAGAGTGTCCGGAGGCACGTTGTTTAGAAAGTGTGTGATACTTCTGACAGAGCCCCCTACATTGAATTGACAAATGCCTGTCTCTAGAACAGAAATGGCAAAAGGAGGTCCCTGTCCTGGAAGGATCTCGTTTCCCCTAAGCAAGACCCTTCTAGGGGACAGAGCACCCGGGTGCCTGCAGAACTGGACGCTCTGTCATTGCATGCCTATTTAGAATCCCTCCATTAAAGCCTTGGCTCCACAGCCAACACTCTTGGTACCAGCAGCTAAGAAATCAAGAGACGAATTGCATTGGGAAAGTCAGTTGTCAGGGACCTCTCCAGAGTACTGAAGAGCAATGACATCAGGCTGGAGACTAAGGTGCGCCTGATCAGGGCTTTAGTCTTCGCAATTATGTGCTATGCATTGGAGAATTGGACAGTGACTGGGGATGATAGAAAGAGAATTGATGGCTTTGAGCTGTGGTGCTGGAGAAGAGTGTTGAATATACCATGGACTGCTAGGAGAACAAATAGGGTTGTCCTGGAGAGGGTTGTCTGACATACTTTGGGCATGTTGCAAGGAGGGACTGGTCCTTGGAGAGGGACGTCATGTTTGGGAGAGCGGAGGGGCGGCGCAGGAGAGGAAGACCCTCAATGAGATGGATCGATTTTGTGATTGGGGTGGTGGGAGTCAATGTGTCAGAGACAATGAGGTTGGCACAGGCTAGAGCAGGGTAGGGTTGCTATGAGTCACAAGCGACTCAATGGCACATAAGAACAACATTAAGGCCAGCAGAGTTTCGTTCACCTCTTAGCCCTCATCCTTAATTCGGTGCCTGGGAATTGGCAGTGAAGGTGGTGCAGTTAATGGGCCCAGCTGCTAACGGGTACGTTGGGACTTGCCGCTCCCTCAGAGGAATCCCGGAAGGAAAGCCTGGTGACGGGCTGGCCGCTGCAAAGCCCGGAGACTCACCGCTTGGCAAGAGTCAGGATCGACTGCACAGCAACTGGTTTGGGGAGAAGTGGATAATGCCTCCAGGGCCCTTATAAAAACACTTCTAAAATCTGGGGCAAAGGACAGACTTTTCTCCTTTGTCTAATTGGTTTTTATTTTGTGGTTTTCCAGATTTAGGCTTTACAATTGCTCTTAGCCAGATTGGAAACAAAACGCCCTCTTTCTGGGCACACTTCCTTTCTAGGTTCTGCAGACTCGGTTACTTTGCAGCCATCCACGGCCTGTTCATGACTGGTGAGATTAAACCTCAGATACCCACCGCCCATGCGAATACCCAGCACCCAGAGGGGCTGCTGCTTGCTCAAAGGACACCGTGCTCACTTCCAACCCAAAGCCAGCTCTGGACTTGGCTCCTGGGACCTCGAATTAACATGCGAAAAGCTCTGGCCCTTCTTGACATAGTGGGAGCAGGCGGAGCCCGCCGGGAATGCTGATGAGGCCATTAGAAGAAGCAGCTCCTACATTATCTCCCAGGAAACTATTTTCCCTGCTCCCTTCCGCTGACCCAACTTTTCACCGCCTGAAGAATGCAGTTCTGGAGAAAGACACCATTTCTCTGGCTGCTGCCCCATCTAAGACTCCCTGCTTCTGACCCACATTTTTGAACTCTAATTAAAGTCTGGAAAACAAAGAGCTTGCTTTATCCCTACGCATCTGCCGTCTTTAATTTAAGCTTATTTGGGATGGTGACCACCCTAGCAGGGCTGCTAAGAGTCTTCTTTTCTAAATGGAAAAGTTGTCTTTTATGCTTCTCTCAGTAAAAAGCTGAAGATAGGAGTCTTTATTTCAGTATCACCGTGAGGAATTTTTGTTCCAGAATTCAAAGCAGATAGTATGTTAAAAGAGACAAAATTTTGTTTCTTTCAAATCTGGCATCCTGCAGGACGTAGAGCAACATCACTGGATAAGCTCAAATAAAAGCAGGAGGTTTACTGAGGGATGGAGATGCTTCTGACCAGAACAATGTCCACAGTCAGGCCACGACAGCGAGCAGTGATGAAGGATGCAGTGGTGGAGAGTGGGAGCTGAGAGGCCAGCAGGGGAGCGTCTTTTAGAAAGGAGAATTGGCAGGGATGGTTGAGTAACATCTAAATAGAATTATTACATGATTGCTTAAAGGGACATGCCGTCTAGTTTATTAAAGATGGTTCCAGAACAGCAGAAGACACTGATGTGTGTGTGTGTGTGTGTGTGTGTGTGTGTGTGTGTGTGTGTGTGTAAAACCTATTAGTAAATTGAGCTTCCTCAGTTGTGTCTGTTTCTGGGAGTTGTTGTTGTTGATAGTCATCTAGTCGAGCACGACTCTTAACAACCCTATGAACAAAAGGCCTGAAGCCGTTCTATAACTATCGTCATTTATCAACGTTCCTAGAGTGTCCAGAGGCATGTTGTTTAGGAAGTGGATGCCACCCCTGCTTCCAAACCTGTCTTAAACTGGGAGCTCCGCCAAACACTGTCCACCATGGGGAACTGTTGTGGCATTTGACACCCCAATGGCACAGAGTTAAGCATCACAACAACCCCAGATTGCCTCAATATAGCATATTGACAAAAGAGTGGTCTACCACTTAGAAGAATGTTCCTCAAAAATATAATAACAACCAACTTTAAATACAAAGGCCTTCCTCGAGATCTTGCTGACTCTAAACAAGAGGCCTGGGAAAAACAGAACAGAACAAAACAAAACAAAAACACCAAACAAAAAAGCCCAAGGTAGTATGTTTTGTTGTTGTTGTTGTTATGTGCTGTTGAGTCACCTGCAGTGTATAAAAATGTATTTATCAAAACTATGTATCAATATGGATTGAAGCTCAATGTCAAGAAGACAAAGATTCTCACCACTGGATCAATTGGCAGCATTAGGATGAATGGTGAAGAGATTGAGATTGTTCACAGCCTTCAGTTTGCTCGGCTCCATGGTCAACACTTTTGGCACCAGTAGCCAGAAAATTAGAAGACATATTGCTATGGGAAAGTCTGCTGTTAGGGACCTCTCCAAAGTACTGAAGAGCAATGGTGTCTCTCTGGAGACTAAGGTGCTTCTGATACAGGCCATGGTCTTTGCTATCACTTGTTATGCATCAGAGAGTTGGACAATGACTAAGGAGGATAGAAGGCAAATTGGTGCCTTTGAGCTGTGGTGCTGGAGAAGAGTATTGAGGGTACCACGGACTGCCAAGAAAACAAACAGATTCATCCTGGAGAGGGTCAAACCGGGCTGCTCCTTGGAGGCAAGGATTCCAAAGCTCCGTCTGACATACTTTGGACATGTTGTAAGGAGGGACTGGTCCTTGGAGAGGGGCATCATGCTTGGGAGGGTGGAGGGACAGCACAGAAGGGGAAGGCCACCTATGAGGTGGATTGATTCAGTGACTGGGGTAATCGGGATGGGTGTGTCAGAGATGGTGTGATTGGCACAGGACAGAGCAGAGTTTAGGGTTGTTGTACATAGGGTCGCTATGAGTCGCAAGCGACTCGGCAGTACATAACAACAACAACAACATGTATCTAAACTCTTCAGGCACCAGATAGCACATTTTTTAATCTGATTGACTGCTGTGGATAAAAATCCTTTGGGGCTAAATTGATTATGTTTGCACTTGCCAGACCTCCTAGGGAAAGAAAGTCTTCCTTAAGATACATGGTCAGGTCAGCATCCTATTCAAGAAACTGCTAAGATAAAAGATAGCTTTTAAAGACCCGTCAAGGCTTTCAGGCCCATGATAGAACTTTAAAACATAGTGAAGTCTCTACTTTGACCGTGTTCTGTCTACATGTGTCAGTGCCTCTGCTTTAAGACTCTCAGACAGCATTCTTCTAAGACTTCTGGCAGACAATATCACTCTTATGTACATTTTCTAACTGTTTCAGTGTTTTTGATCATGGCCACCAAAAGACGCAACTCCAAGGTGAAAGTCACACCTTCCTAGAAGATGGAAAAGCTCTGTGTTCAGAGACCATAGTTATATTCAAACTATTAAGAACACTACTTTTATTTCACTCTTTAATGAACAGTGTAGTATCTTAAAACTGGACTTTGGGTACTTTTTTCATGACTTCTCTGCGCTGGTGTATTCAGATACTGACCTCTGACTGAATCAACTTGTAAGATGGGTTCAACTTGATTTTATCTCCACAAGGGCATTCAATTTGAGGGTGTTGTCTGAATATTTTTCTGACTTAACTAGTTATTACTCCACATTCACCCAGTCAATCACATATTTTTCCATGTGTATGGGTTTTAATATGGTTTCTTCAGGGTTTTCTTTTCTATCAAAAAGTCCCAGCATCAGTTTTAAATTTGAAGTTGGACTTATCAGCAGGACACACTTACAAAAGGATCTTGACCCAGTAGAAAGAAATTCGTGACTAACCGGTCAACCCTGGGTAATGGGGGGCGGGGGGGGGAGGTGTTGCTGGCTGGTAGCTGGCCTACTTCTTTTGACTTTCTTGTCGTCTTCCAACTTTTATTTATTCTGTTGTTGTGTTGTTGAGAACATGTACAGCGGAGCACACCGCTGTCCAATTCGGTGACACCGATCACATCCTTGGAGTTGTGCAACCGTCCTCGCCCTCCTTTGGGGACCTGTTCCTCCCTCATTAACATAAGCTCGCTGCCCTGGGGCGGCCTTCTTGATTGCAGACAGGGGTGGTTGCGCAATCTGGCCAGGGCCCAGGGGATCTTGGCAGCCTCTCTTCTTTCCAATCCTCCGGCACCTGGTTCTGAGCACCGCTCGCTTGTTGGAAAGGGGGTGGAAGGCATTTCCCAGACCTCAAGTCTGGCTGGAATGAAGACGTGAAGCCTAAATAAACACATATTTACAGCTCTTCCCGCCAGCGCAGATGGCTGTCTTGCCACACGGATACAACCCCGACATCGCTCACTGCCTCACTGCTGGATGTCGTCAGGGTGAGAGCCGCAGGTGTTCTCATTGGGGAATGTCACATCCACCAGGATGTCCTTGGCCAGTGTGCAATCAGGAGGCGACTGATGGGGGGCCTCCCAAAAGGATCCAGATTCTTGAATCCCTTTCCCTCTCCTTGCCCTTTGAGGGAGAGGAAGAGGGAGAGGGAGAGAGGGGCAGGGGGGCTGTAGCACTGGGCTTAACACAGTGGTGATGAGAAAGGCACAGGATTGGGAAGGGTTTGCTCTGCTGTATCTGGGGTCACGGTGGTTGAACCCAACTAAATAGCACCTAGAAACCATTGTTCTAGAGGGTACTCTGCGTGTTGCAAATTTAACAGCAACCAATGGAAGGAATGGACACTCGCACGAAGACAGAGACCATTCTGAAGAGAGGCAGGGCTGGAGGTCTGCTTGTAAAATGTCACCGTGCAGTGGACACAACTCTAGCACATGACTGGGAATCAGGTTGAAGGCACCTGGTCTGATGTGGTTTGATTTGACCCATCAAGACAGATGGTCTTGTTTAGTGACATTTTTCTCTTTGTTGTTGAATACTGCCTACGTGACTCTGTATGCCCTGCTGAGCTTGATTTTCTTCTTTTTTGCCCCATTGATGCCTAATTTTTTACTAAAAGGCTCTATATTTAGGATGGGACAATAGGTCCCTTAGAAACCAAGAGGGCTGTTCAGTCCTGAGTAGGGATGAGGGTAAAAGGTAAGGGTTTCTTCTCAGAAATGAGATCCGGGCCTGTGCCAAGCTTCGCCTGGGAGAGCAGAGATGTCCTCGTTCATGCCATCCTTCATCCTCGTACCCGTCACTAGGAAGAAGTGGTATAATCAGCACAACTCTCAGCTGACTTAGCATCCCTCTCCATCGAAGAAGGGAAGGCAACTCCCCCGCTTCCTGTAGAAGAAGAGATTGTCTGGTCAAGTAACAGGGAATCCCTGAGAGTTTCTTTCCAAATGCTTGAGCCGGTTGGCACTGAAGGACCTGGGTTATTCTGAACGGTCCTAGAAGATACTTTTGGGAGGAAGGAGCAAGACTAGGAAGGAAGGTGGTGGTGGGTGCCGTGGGTCCTGGGGGGCCATGTGTTGGGCACGGGGACACCATGACCATCTCTGCCGCACTGTCTCTGTCTTCTCCTAGGCTATAGGATTAGAGTCACGAATCATGTCCTGAGCAGTCACTGCATCGGGACCAGGGTTCCAGGCAGTGCATTGCCAGGGCCTGGGGGCGCTGCCGGGGCCTGGGGGCACTGCCGGGGCCTGCGGGCACTGCCCCATGCTCAGAAGACAGTGTGGGCTTCTTGCTGTTGTTATGTGCCGTCGAGTCACACTCTTGAAAGCCAGCACCATGGAGGTCTGGGGCCTGTTCTCTGCCACTTGAACCCTCAGTGGCAAGCAGTTTCCTACCCAGAGGTCCTGGTCTTCATTTCCTTGAGACTAAAATCAAATTCATGTCACGATTCTCCTGGATCATCTTTTGAGACACTGGAGGACAAGGACACATATATGACATATAAAGGAAAATCCATGTTTATAGGATGATTTACCCTCTCAGTAGACCTTCCACGGGCTATGCTTTATCTTTAGTTGTATTTATCGTTCATTTGGTTCAACCATTTCCATGATCCCTTTCCAAACTTTCCCATCACTTTTGGTTTTTAACAGACAAAGTTAAAAATGTTGATTAAGGTAGTAAGACAGGAGCTTAATTAGTGAAACGTAGGCCATGAAAAAAAGAGTTACAGGGGAAAAGAAAGAAGAGGGAAGGGGTAAAGGAGCCCTGGAAAGAAAAGGACCCCTTCGTCTTAACAGAGGGCTGGTATCCACTAAGCTGGTCTCCCCTCCCTCCACTGCCCCAGCTGACTGCTCATCAGCTCTGTCTCTACGTTTGCCCGTCCTCGATACTCACCGTGACGTCTTCATGGTTCACGCACGCTGTAGCATCCATCAGAGCTTCACGGCTCATAGTGCAGTGAATGTTTGTACCATAAACACCCAGATTCATCACCATCAAGTCAATTCCAACACAGAGACCCTCTGGGACAGGGTGGGAAGATCCCATGGGGTTTCCAAGGCTGTAAATCTTTACGGAAGTTGACGTCCCCTCTTTCTCCCACAGAAAAGTTGGTGGGTTCAAACTATAACACCTTTCAGCCAGCAGCCCAGTGCTTAACTGTTGAGCCACTGGGGCTCCATTGTACACAAATATGTCAAATACATCCAGATGGTCCGTGTTTATGAGCTTCTACATGTTCAATGAAGACAAAGGAGCAGGTTGTTGCGTTGTCTATTCTGAGGTCACTCAGAGTGCTGGCCAGTAAACAGGAAGGGGAATGCGCCCTATGGAATCCTTTTTCATTTACTCTTGTATCTGGGGAGCATTTACTCGTTCACAATATCTTAATGCAGTAGAAAGTGTGCGGAGTTTACAGTCGGAAGGATGGAGATGAGTCCACACCCCTCGGCTATTTCCACTAATTGTGCACCGTGGTTCAAGGCCCAGTTCCTCGTCTGAGAACAAATATAATAAACCAGTGCTGTGAGATAACAGAAGACAGATAACACACCAAATACTCATGCTTGTTCCTACAGCTCTTGTGGGGATTTATCACTGGTGCTTAAGAGGAGCAGAAACGCAGGCTGGAGCAACACTAACCGAATGTCTTAGCCTGTTTTGTTCAACAGCATGTTAACTCTCCCCTTCTCAACTCTCTGTGTTTCCAGGGCTGACATGGTTGAGGACCACAGTCGCCACCCTTGGAAGACTGGGGATAACCATGGCCTTTGAAATCGTGTATTTGGTCAATTCAGAGCTGTACCCGACAACACTACGGTAATTCCCATGTCCAAATGACAGAACTTCTCATCAACCCTGTCTTTGTAGACAAATGTGTTGACTTAAAAACAATGACTCATGCAATATTATTCAAAATGGGTGACCCTGGAGGACATTATGCTGAGTGAGGTATCTCAGTCACAAAGGGACAAATGCTATATG